CTGTCAATGCAGAAAATCCCAAAGAATAGGCAAAAAATTCCTGGAACTAAATAATTGTAGTAAAGTCACAGAATGTAAGGTTAATATACAAAAGTCAATTGCCTTTCTATACACCAGTACTGAACACTTGAACTTTGAAATTAAAAGCACAACATCATTTATATTAGCATAACAATTAAACATTAAGGCATAAATATAATAATAAATGTACAGGAAAACCACAAAACCCTGATAAAAGAAATCAAAGAAGATCTAAATAAATGGAGAGATATTCCATTCATAGATGGGAAGACTTAATATTGTTAACATGTTAATTCTCCCCAACTTGACTTACAGATTCACTGTAATCCTAAACAAACTCCCAGCAAGTTATTTTGTGGTTATCAACAAACTATTCTAAGGTTTATATGGAGCAGCAAAAGACTCAGAATAACCCCAACTAAAGAACAAAGTCAGAGGACTAACGCTACTCAAATGTAAGACTTACTATGCAGTAATCAAAACAGTGTGGTATTGACAGAATAAAGAGCCCAGACATAGACCCATATAAATGCAGTCAACTAATCTTTGACAAAGGAGCAAAGGAGCAAATGTTATTCAATGGTGGAAGAATAGTCTGTTCAACAAATGGTGCTGGAACAATGGGATATCAATATGCAAAAAAATGAATCTAGACATACAATTTATACTTTTCATAAAAAAACTCCAAATGGATCATAGACTTACATATAAAACATGAAACTATAAAACTTCTAGAAGATAATGGGAGTGTCTAGTGACCTTTGGTGATGAGTTTTCAGATATGACAATAAAAGCATGACCCATGAAAGAAAAATTATTAAGGTGCACTTTTTTTTTTTTTTTTTTTTTTTTTGAGACGGAGTTTCGCTTGTTAACCAGGCTGGAGTACAACGGCGCAATCTCGGCTCACCGCAACCTCTGCCTCCTGGGTTCAGGCAATTCTCCTGCCTCAGCCTCCTAAGTAGCTGGGATTACAGGCACGCGCCACCACGCCCAGCTAGTTTTTTGTATTTTTAGTAGAGACAGGGTTTCACCATGTTGACCAGGATGGTCTCGATCTCTCGACCTCGTGATCCACCCGCCTCAGCCTCCCAAAGTGCTGGGATTACAGGCTTGAGCCACTGCGCCTGGCCTAAGGTGCACTTTATCAAAATTAAAAACTTTCCTGTGAAAGGCATTGTTGAAGGAATGAAAAGCTGAAGGAATAAGGAGAAAGGTTTTTTTTCATGAAGAATGTGAAAACATATTTGCAAATGTGTATTTAATTAAAAATTTAGGAAAAAAAAAAAGATATCTCCTTTCTCACCTTGTCAGGTGCCAGCTCAAGCTGGTTGGTAATGTTGTCTATGTCTTCTATACCCTTTATGGTTTTTGCACCAGCTGTTCTATCAATTATTGAGAGTAAATTATTGAAATAGCCAATTATTAAGTTATCTGTCTTCCTTTTAAAAAATTCTTTACATTTTGATTTGAATATTTTGAAGCTCCATTGTTAGGTGCAGATACATTATTTCTTCTTGATGTATTTAACCTGTATTCATTATGAAATATTCCTTTCATGCTCTCAGAGTAGTACTTGCCTTAACATCTATTTTGCCTAATATCAATATAATCACTTGAATTATATCATAGCTACTGCTTGTATAGTGTATATATTTTTATTTTTACTTTGGGACTACTTGTGTCTTTGAAGCTAATGTATGTCTTTGCAGGTAGCAATGGTTGAATTTTTCTTTTTACTCTGACAATTTGTGCCTTTTGATTGCATTATTAGAACTAACATTTAATACAATTATATGATCGTACTTAAATTTACCATTTTGCTAATTGTTTTCTGTATTTCCCCTTTTTGTTGTTCTTTCCTTTAACTGGCTTCTTTTTTGTTAAATAATATTTTTTGGCGTAGATTTTTAGTTTTTCTATTTTTGAGTTGTATTATTTCAGTTGTTTTCTTAGTGGTAGCGCTAGTGATTGCAATATGCGTATTATCCTATCACAGTCTACTTCAGATTAATACATAAACTTAATTCTAGTAAAATACAGAAACTTGCCTTCAACATTGCTTCACTTTCTCGTCTTTTGTAAATTTTTTTTTTTTTTTTTGAGATGGAGTCTGGGTCTGTTGCCCAGGCTGGAGGGCAGTGGTGCAATCTTGGCTCACTGTAACCTCTGCCTCTCAGGTTCAAGCGATCCTCCAGCTCCAGCCTCCAGAGTAGCTGGGATTACAGGTGTGTGCCACCATGCCTGGCTAGTCTTTTGTAATTTTATTGCCATATATGTTACATCATATATGTTGCAATCTATTAATATAGTATATAATTTATTATGTTAATAAATGTAATGTTTTTTAAAGTTACTAAGAAAATAAATTGGAAGATTAACTAAAAAAATTTGTATGTTGACTCCCACTCACTCCTAAGTGTGAGTCAAACAATGAGAACACATGGACACAGGGAGGGGAACATCACACACCAGGGACTAGGAACATCACACACCAGGGACACACAGGTGGGAGCTGGGGGAGGGATAGCATTATGAGAAATACCTAATGTAGATGACGGGGTGACAGATGCAGCAGCCAATCACCATGGCATGTGTATATCTGTGTAACAAACCTGCATGTTCTGCACATGTACCCCAGAACTTAAAGTACAATAAAAAATAGTAACTTGACATGTAATACAAACAGTAACATGACAATTATTGGAAAATGGCATTATTCAGTAAGCATTTAAAAGCCAAATTTGTATTAGATTTTATCTAAAACAATGAAATCTAATTGTTCACACACACAAATAAAATAACATTTGTAACTTAAAAATCAAATGGAACAAACAAGCCAATTAAACATTCACCGAGAAATTTAAATAGACATTTTACTAAAAGACACGGATGGAAAATAAGCAAATGAAAATATGCTTAACATCATTTGTCATATGACAAATAAAAATTCAAACCACACAAACACACACACACACACACACACACACACACACAAATTTGTATCAAAGATATACAAATCCAGCCTGGGTGACAGAGCAAGACTCTGTCTCATATATATATATATATATATATATATATATATATATATATATGTATACATATATACATATATATGTGTGTGTGTATATATATATATTTATTTATTTATATATAAATCTTACTATACATATCATATATATCAAATCTTACTATACATTTATTTATATTTATATATATAAATCTTACTATACGTATCATATATATCAAATCTTACTATACATTTATTTATATTTATATATATAAATCTTACTATACATATCATATATATCAAATCTTACTATACATATCATATATAAACCTTACAATAAAATATACATAACAATATGCAAAAAAGAATCTAGACATACAATTTATACTTTTTATTAAAAGTAACAATTTAAGGCCAGGCACGGTGGTTCAAGCCTGTAATCCCAGCACTTTGGGAGGCCGAGGCGGGTGGATCATGAGGTCAAGAGATCGAGACCATGGTCAACATGGTGAAACCCTGTCTCTACTGAAAATACAAAAAAAATTGGCTGGGCATGGTGGCACGTGCCTGTAATCCCAGCTACTCAGGAAGCCTGAGGCAGGAAAATTGCCTGAACCCAGGAGGCGGAGGTTGTGGTGAGCTGAGATCGTGCCATTGCACTCCAGCCTGGGTAGCAAGAGCGAAACTCCGTCTCAAAAAAAGAAAAAAAAAAAGTAACAATTTAAAATTTAACATAATTTCAAAACTATTAACTATATACTTACATATACAAAGAACTCTTAGAATTCAATAATAAGAGAATAAATAACCCAATTAAGTAATGGGAAAAGGATCTGAACAGACATCTCACCAAAAAGATACACAGATAGCAAACAACCATATGAAAAGATGTTCAACATCAGATATCATTACAGAATTGTAAATTAAAACAATAAAATATTACCATACACCTATTAGAATGGCCAAAATTTTAAAAACTTGCCAATACCAAATGCTGGGGAGGATAAGGATAACAGGAATATTTTTTCATTGTTGGTGGGAATGCAAAATGGTAAGCCACTGTGGGAGACGGTATGGCAGTTTCTTATAAAACTACATGTAGTCATACTCTGGCACTCACACTCCTAGGTTATTTACACAATTGGGTTGAAAACTTATGTTCACACAAAAACCTGCACACAAGTGATTATAGCGGCTTTATTCTTAATCATCAAAAACTGGAAGCAACCAAGATTTCCTTTAATGGGTGAATGGATAAACACACTATGCTATATCCATACAGTAATCATTATTCGGCAACAAAAAATGAGCTATCAAGTCACAAAAAGACATGGAGGAATCTTAAATGCATTAAGAGTTCCACTTACTGCTAAGTGAAAAGAAGTCAGTCCAAAACGTCTACATACTGTAGAATTCCAACCAGCTACATGACATTTTGGAAAAGGCAAAACTGTAGAGACAGTAAAAAATCAGTGGTTGCCAGGGCTCGGGGCTGGGTGGGGGTGGGGGTAGGGGTGTGTGGGAGTGGGATAAATAAGTGAAGCACAGAGGATTTTTACGGTAGAGAAACTATTCTGTATGAAACTGCAATGGGGCACACATGCCACTATGAATTTGTCAAAACCCACATAACCTTGTAACACAAAGAATGAACTATGGACTACAGTTAATAATAAATCAATATTGGTTCATCATTAGTAACAAATGTGCCACACTAATACAAAATCTTAATAATAGGAAAAATTGTGTGAGGAGGAATAAGGGTATGGGGTGCGGTGGGTATATGGAACTCTATTATCTGCTCAATTATTCTGTAAACCTAAACCTATACTTTAAAAAATAGTCTATTAATTATCTTAAAAAATAAAATCAAAGGGACCAAAATAAGTAACTTTTTTGGTTCTAACAAAAAGATAATATACATGCCTTTATATCATATAAGAGTGATTCCAAACAAATACATAAAGTATAAAATTTTTATTTTATTATATTTTGCTACCCTTCTTGACCTTACTATACTCTTAGGTACAGAAAACAATAAAACATTTCATTAAAAATGATCCATTAATACTTCAACTTTCCTTTGTACACTGGAGATACTGGATTAAATGCCTTCTTAGAAATGCCAAGTTAACCATTTTTCAAAAAGTTTCTGAAATGCATGTTTTCCAGTGGTTTGATCTTACTGATTTTACTTGATAGAACTACCTGTGATGCTCTGGGATGTGAACAAATCATCTTATGTCCCCCACTTCCACAAGTAAGTGACAATGCTTTCACCTCTAGTCTTCATATTGCCGATTTTTGTTTGAAGTTTATGGACAAGATTTAGCTCCGTAGATAAGGACAGAAATGCAGGTCTGACAAGTTACATCAACATCAGGACTAAAAGTCCCAGGACTACAAACCACTGCAGAGGAAAACACATGGAATAATTACAATTTATAGGTATTTTATGCTTCTGCAACTTGGGAGGTATTTTATACCAACAACATAAATCTGCTTTCAATATCACACCATTTCAGTACCTATATTATACCAAGTAATGTTCAGCTAATTTAAGTTGTAAGAGATTATTTGAGTTTCAAACTTTATAGTTTGATGATCTTAAAGAGAGGAGAAAGTGAGAATCCTATTTTTTCTTTTACTATCAGCATTTTACAGTATCTTCTGCAGTGCCCCATTTATGAGTTCCTATTTCCTAGTTCTCTGCTTTCTAGGTAGGACCATTCTGTTTTCCTTTATTGTACAGTAGCTTAGAACAGAACACTATGGAAATGTATACAAGAGAGTACATCAGGAAGAGTTAATATACACTGAAATAAGTATATTTAGAAATTTAGGCTTTGGCTGGGTGCTGTGACTCATGCCTATAATTCCAGCACTTTGGGAGGCCAAGGTGGGCAGATTGCTTGAGCTCAGGAATTGGAGAACAGTCTGGGCAATGGGGTGAAACACTATCACTGCTAAAGACACAAAAATTCGTCAGGTGTGGTGATATACACCTGTAATCCCGGCTATTCGGGAGGCTGAGATTGAAGAATGGCTTGAGCCTGGGAGGCAGAGTTACCATGAGCTAAGACTGTGCCACACTGCACTCTGGCCTGGGTAACAAAGCTAGACTCCATATCAAAAAAAGAAAAAAAGGGGCCAAGTGTGGTAGCCCACATCTGTAATTTCTCTGGGCACTTTGGGAAGCTAAGGCGGATGATCACTTGAGGTCAGGAGTTTAATCGCCTGGCCAACATGGTGAAACTCTATTTCTACTTTTTACAAAAATTAGTCAGCTGTGGTGGCAGGTGCCTGTAGTTCCAGCTACTCAGGAGGCTGAGGCAGGAGAATCGCTTAACCCCGGGAGATGGAGGTTGTGGTGAGCCGAGACTGCACTGCTGCACTCCAGCCTGGGCAAGAGAGTGAGACTCTGTCTCAAAAAAAATACAAAAATAAAAAATAAATTGGGGCTTTGAATTTTTACTTCCCTTTAGATAAAGTTTTTGGTAAGAGAATCAGTGTAAAGATTCTATTCAGTTATGCCAAGTGAATTACTCATGTATTCTTCTGATTATATAACCTAAACATTTAGATATTTATATTTTGTAATTACCACAACAGCTAGCGCAATTACTGTGTAGACCTTCATTTTTTCCAAAACCTGGTCGACAGCTATCCAGACGTACTACTTGAAAACTGTGGTCCACAAAATGCATTGCTGGTAGAGTTTTATTTAAGTTATGGTGGAAAATATATGCTTGGCTCTGAAAAAATTCTTCTATTCGATTTCTTGCCTAAGGTGTAAAAATACCAGAGAGAGGTACAATTACTAACCCCTGAACCAAATTTATCCTCCAGTATCAGAGGCAATAATGTAGTGTAAACATGCCATACTTTACATAGACAAATTCCTGAAAAGGTGTGTGTTAACACCAAAATTAGTCTAGGCTTGACCTTATCAACTGTTGTCAATTGATACATGCAATGGTTAAGAAAAATTGGCCAGGCGCGGTGGCTTATGCCTGTAATCCTAGCACTTTGGGAGGCCAAGGTAGGCAGATAACAAGGTCAAGAGACGGAGACCATCCTGGTCAACATGGTGAAACCCTATCTTTACTAAAAGTACAAAAATTAGCTGGGCATGGCGGCACGTGCCTGTAGTCCCAGCTACTCGGGAAGTTGAGGCAGGAGAATCACTTGAACTTGGGAGGTGGAGGCTGCAGTGAGCTGATATTGAGCCACTGCATTACAGCCTGGTGACAGATCGAGACTCAGTTTCAAACAAACAAGCAAACAAACACTTTTCTTTGGTCAGCATTATAAACTAGTGATGTAAATTTTGGGTTTTTGACACAAAATTTAATAATAACTAATGTTAAAAGTGTTTCTCATAAGCCATACACAACATCAATTCAGGCTATGGGCTCAGGAACTAGACCAGAGAGTGAAGGGATTTTTCTTTTTTTCTTCACTGCTTATGTGGGTGTGGAGGGATTTTAAGACTATGTCTTTAGCCTCTGAGGATAGTGGAGGGTAGAGCAACTATTATGATCAATATAGATACAGTTTTGGAAGCACCATTGGCTTAACCTAGGGTAACATATTTGTGAAATCGTCCTTTAAGCCACTATTTAATCATCATTTGAGGAACAAAGACCAGGGATCTGTCTTTCTGTCATAGATAAAATACATGATACTAACCTTGGGAAGGAACTATCTAATGTTCCAGATTTACTATTCCAAAATAACACATCTTGATACTCCAGCTCTCTTTTGATTAAAAAAATAAATAAATAAAACTTGAAATAACCAAGAATCTCATAATCTCAGTTTAAAAAACTGAAACCAAAAATCAGTAATACTTAAAAAAAATCAATATTAATACTTTATATTTTAAAAAATAATTTAAATTTACTCCTCAGAAATGTCTTATTATTGATTTATTCACAAGATGGAGAAATAGATTTTTAAGAAACTTTTAATAAAACAAAGTATTTACAAAAAATTTTAAAATAGCTTTATTGATTTTCAAATACTTCCTCCTTGGCTGAGGCACGAGATCACCTGAGCCCAGGGGTTCCAGGCTGCAGTTTGCTATGGTCGTACCACTGCACTCCAGCCTGGGTGACGCCCTGTCTCTAAAAAAAGAAAAAGATAAATAATTCTTCCTTACAATGACAGTCTCACCTGGAGGATATTATGATTAGTGATATCTTCACAGTCAGCAGATCCATTGCAAGCACCTTTCCACCCTGGTGCAAAAGGATTAACTGAAGAGAAAAAAAATGATAGGTTCACAAAGGGATTCTAAAAAGTTTCAAACATTTGAATAAAGGTCCAAGTGCTGAATTCAGTGTGCATGCAGGCATGTTTAGTCCTACTACCTAATCCTAGTACTAAAACAAGGTGCACAATTTGAATAATTTATACTTTATGGTTTCACTCCATCTGGGGGCTAATACAAGTAACTACAAGGCTTTAAAATGAATAGAAATACATTTGGTTTGGTTATTTACTTTTACTAAATTTTCAAAAATACAATTAAAAATTCTATAAGAAGTTATAAGTGAAATATTAGCTGCATAAAGGCTGTATTAATAAAATGATATTGATTTTTAAGAAGCAACAATATGCCATATTTGAAAGTAATTAATTAGTGTGTTAAGCTTTAAAACTGTAAACAGGCTAAGACCAACTATATACTTTAGTGCTTAACAAACATTTAAGACCTATTGCTTTAAAAATATCTCATATTGATATGGTAATTAATTTTGAAATTATCATGGTTCAGGACTAAATTCAAAATTGAAGAAATGTTAAAATTTTACCTTGAAATGCTATAAAGAGCTCATGTATGAGGCCATGTTCTGGAATTTCAACAGAATGACATTTATATGATGGCTCTATGACATGACAGGACAAATCAGATACTAGATTATCCAAGATTTTCTTCAGCACTCTAAAGAGCATGTCATTGTATCTCCCTATACAAGACTTTGTGGTAAAACGTACAGCCATCTGATATGAATAATCAGGTTCCCGATAGGCTTTAAAGAGAGAAAGATAAGAGTGAAAACCATGGTGCCTAGCATTAATTTCCTCTACCAAACAATTTTCAAATAGCATGTAATACTAAATCCCATCAATCTTGCAACCAGCATAGAAACTTATCTAATAAAATGTTTTATCAGTTAGTCCTCACAAAAATACACCAAACTATTAACTTTAATGGAAAATGTTATTTTCATCTGATATATTATCTACTTGGCACAACAAGAGAAATGGCTTCTGTGGGACGGCTATATAGATCACAGTATCAAGAAAAAAAAAAAGACTTTTTGGGGAGGGCCTTAATTCACAGAAAGTATCATTGCTGTCAGCACAGCCCAGTGAAAGAATCGTTAACTTGCTTTTATAGAATTAAAGATCAGTTTTTAAATTACGTGCTAAATTGTGGTAAAGTAGATGTGCTTGCATATCTAGACAGAGGCAAGTAGGGAACTGAAGGAAGATTATTTAGGACAAACTATCTTGATGTCAATTTAAGAGTTTGCCTAGTCAAATACATCCCAAAATATTCTGTAAGTCATAATTAGTGATAGTCACCTGTTACAGACTCACTTTCACTAAATGAAGACACTAAACATTTAATTGTGATCCAAACTAAATGTATAAGTCAAAATGTGCCTAAATTCTTACCAAAGACCATAAAGTCATATCTCTTTTTTACTGTCTTTTCTTCCTGGGTTTCTGCTTTAACAGTCTTATAAGAAAGAGTACATGTGTAAAGTCCAGACAAAGGCTCCAGAAAATCTTTCACCATCAGCTGTCCAGTCTTAGTTATATTTATTCGATTATTTCCTAAGCAGAATAGTAAATTACTTATTTAACATATAACATATCAAGCATTATTTAGTAAACTTGGAATTACAAATAGACACAAATATTTTTTCAAATTAATGAACTATCTCAACTTTAAGAATCCCACAAAATCTTAATTCTGTCATATTACTCTATGGGAGACTACATGATAGAGTACACTTTTGAAATATATTTTGTGTGGTTATTTTTTGTTTCTTGGCATCTGGCTCCGATTGGTTCATACCAATAATTCAGAAAAAGAGATTACATTGCCCTGTAACGGTATACAATTTCTGCGGACAAGACAGAAACTAATTAATAATACTTATGTTCCAAGGCATGAAAAATTAGATATTAGATATTTCATATCCTGTTACTGGTGCTACAATGATACATTTTAGGTTTTATAGACCTTTGAATTAACATAGCTCTGAGACGTAGGGCACAAAATTTACTGCTTCAGTTTTTGCATGAGGAGAAAATAGGGAAGTGGCCAAGATATAAGATGATTTGTCTAAGCAGGGAGCAAGGGAAACTGCCATTAAAACTAAATTTCAATTTGTTATTTCTAATAATAGCGATTTTCTAAAAATATTTTTACATCATTAAAAAAGAACATATTAAAATCAGATTTACCTGTTAATGTCTTTTCATTAGGCCCAATCCATAAGTAGGTGGGGTCCACTATTTCTTTTTTAGCAAGCTTAAAATCCATACAGATAAGGACTGGGCTATTTTGATGTAACTTAACATATATTTTCTCTGTGATGAAATAAAATAATGTATAACTACATTATATAGCAAAATTAAATTAAGAAATATACTCCTACCATTTTGTCCTGAAGACACAAATTAGTTATTGTTGGATTTCACTATTTAAAAAAATCGATATTTAACATTTAGAATGCTAATCTGAAGTTCTTGCTTCTCATAGTAAGTTTTTTGAAACTCTACATTATTAGTCATGAGTTATAACATTTTTCCATTTTTCCAATTTGTTTATAAAAATATACATTATACGTTTAAAGTTCATTTTAATGCACACATTCAGAACTCACTCAAATCATAATTTTTTGGAGGATTGGTGGAAGCAATTCAAAGTTCAGAAAAGGACTGGGTGGGGTCGCTCACACCTGTAATCCCAGGATTTTGGGAGGCCGAGGCGGCGGAGTGCTTGAGTCCAGTTCGATACCAGCCTCGGGAAAATGGCAAAACCCAATCTCTACCAAAAAAACAAAACTTAGCTTGGCGTGGTAATGTGGGCCTGTAATCCCAGTTACTGGGAAGGCTAAGGCAGGAGAATCACTTGAACCCAGGAGGCGGAGGCTGCAGTGAGCCGAGAATGCACCAGTGCACTCCTGCCTGGGTAAGAGAGCGATACTCCCTCTCCGGGCGGGGAAAAAAAAAAAAAAAAAGTTCAGAAAAGGACTTCAGCAAAACTATTTTAAAGATGATCAGCTGGGCATGGTGGCTCATGCCTGTAATCCCAGCACTTTGGGAGGCCGAGGTGCATGGATTACCTAGGTCAGGAGTTCGGGACAAGCCTGGCCAAAATGGTGAGACCCCCCCTCTGTACTAAAAACACAGAAATTAGCTGGGTGTGGTGGCGGGTGCCTGTAATTCCAGCTACTCAGGAGGCTGAGGCAGGAGAATCTCTTGAACCAGCGAGGGGGAGGTTGCAGTAAGCTGAGATTGTGCCCTTGAATTCCAGCCTGGGTGACAGAGACTCTATCAAAAACAAACAAACAAACAAACAAAAAAGATCATGATCATCCTAAGGGAAACTTGATGTCTAACTGTAAATTTCCTCCATTGGGAATAATAATTAAGCCTATCTGGGGTATACTAGGAACATGTGTGATTGCTTCTCGTTTCTGGTTTGGTAGAGAAAGATTCCTGGGGAATGCATGCTTGGAATCACTGCAACCCAGAAAGATACCAATTTTAAAGCCTACTGAATGCCACGCTCTGAGTACATAAAGACAACGTCCTACAATTTGGTGGGGGCTCGGGGAGAGGACCCAAACCTAGAAGGATTCTAAACATAACAAATGATATTAACTGGCTCAAAGTTATCTAAAATTAGCTATGTGACTAATTTTCCTCGGGAAAGTTTCACTGCAGAGATAAAGGACATTTGAGCTGAGCCTTGAAGGATGCATAGTTCTTCCGGGTAATAACGAGAGGATTAAAGATATTCCAAACAGAAGGCCTTGGAAATCACTCCTCTGAGTGGGTTTCCCACGCTGCAAAGCAGCAGAGACACCTGGAAGTGAGATGGCATCGAAGAAAGAAATTTGGAAGGAATCCCAGCCCCTTGGGAGCTGCACGGCGTTAGCAGGGCCACACAACGGGGGTCGCTGTAAGGATGAAAAGATGCGACCTTTGCGAACTGCCAAGCAGATGCCGGGTATAAGAGATGCTCAATAAACGCTCACTGCTCCCTTTCCCTCCAGGTTCCGGGGAAGCGCTTCCGGGCAGAGCTCCGCAGTTCCGGCCCCTCCACTGGGCCGGCGAGCGCAGAGGTCCTTGTTACCTGGGTGTCCCGGCTGCCCATAAATGAAGCCCTTCGTATTGAATAAGGTAGAACGCGGGCATTCGACTGCGGAGGAAAGAAATCACTGACGTTTTAGTGAGAAGAGGAGCGGGTTCAAGTGGGACAGGGCAGGGCGAGGCGAAGGAGGCAGGGCAGAGGGAGAGGCCTGGGGACCGGGCGGAGCGCGCCCCACCTCCTGGGAGGCACCAGAGCACCGCGGAGAGGAGGACCCACGCTCGCATCGCGGCTCAGGGGCTGGCGTCGCAGGAGGCGTCGAGGGACGGTCTCCTTCCTACCTCAGCCCCGGCCCAACACCTCCCCATCGCCTCCACAGCGCCGAGCAGAACGCCGGGGGCGCCTCCCCTACCCGTCCGTCGCCACCTCGGGAGCGGACGCGCAGGAGAGCGCGTGCGTGCTCTGATTCTCGCGCGCGGGGGCGGGGCGAGGGCGCGGGAGGCGAACGCCTGGTCTTCGGGTGCCCACGCGGCCGCAGGCGTGCGAACGCTTCGCGCCTCAAGTCCGGCGCCATTTTCCCGCGCTCGGCGCCCCTTGGTTCTCCTCGCGGAGCGGAAGGAAGAGTGTAAGGGGAAAGAAGCCACGGCGTCGCGTTCCCGGGATTCCCCAGTCTAGGAGCTCAAGGGATGGAGGAGAGAACAACTGGGGGCCCAAGGACCGTGGTGGTGGAGGTGGGGAGGGCGGCCGCCAGGGGATGCGATGAGATTGGGACCTGAGGAAGGCAGAGGCTTCCGACGATTTCCTTCTCACGTGGGGATTTCCTGTGCCTCTCATCTCATGAACGCCGAAACGGGGTGTCCAGTCCCTTTCAAACTGACAAGCGATTTTTATCTAATTGCGTTCTTTACCCGCAAAACCGAGACCCGGAAGAGCCACTGCGGAGCCCAGCAGGCGCCTCCGGGCCTTCCCACTCTAGAGGAGGGTTGAATCTTGACTTTCACTTCGAGTACGAGGCGATGTGAAAGACCTCCCCCAGTGCACACATATCTACGTTGGGGAAGTGACCTGGCTTTAAAAATGGGTCCCAGCGTAAGGCAAGAGCCCGACTGGCTTTTTCTGTAGGGATGGATGGGTAATCAGGATCAGGGGGCTCCAAAGGGGATCCTGCCCGCGTGGTTGATGGCTCCTTCTTGGCTATCAGTTTGGTGGCCCGAAAGGCCGTGTGTGTTGTCTGTTTCTTAGCAGTGGGGCACCACCCTCAGTAGTGGTTTTGAGTAGGCTGGTTAGCAGAGAGAGCCCAAGGTTCAGACAGGGTGCAGAATGGTTATTTTGGGTGAGATCAAGAGTTTTCGGTTTTATTTCCTTTGAGCCGAGTCAGTACTTGGACTATCTCAGATGGTCCAGGAACAACCTTTGTCAGTAATTTCATTTTTAGTCACCGTTAATTTTACCTATATAGCATAAGCCCTGAAATGTGACTCAGTGAGTCAGATCGACCCATTGTCAGTTACCATGTCTGGATTCGTGGTCTGGTCTCAACTGTTCCCTGCTTAAGGTAATGATAACGAAGACAGATTTAGGCATTATCTTTGATTCCCTCCAAGTTCATCATTCCAGCTTTAGTCAAAGTACATTATAAATCCACGGTGTGTCTTATTGGCTTCTCAGTTATTGCAAGTAATTGATCCTTGTAAATCCTATGTGATAAACTAAATCCTATGAGAAGAGACTTAACCAAATGAGTAGTTGTCTGTCAAAAGTACCCATCCACTCTTTTTAAATAAACTTTTTATTTTAGAAGAGTTTTAGATTTACAGAAAAATTGCAAAAACAGTACAGAGAGTTTTTACATACTCCCACTCAATTTTCCCTATTATTGACATCTTCCATTGGTATGGCACATTGCTTTCAATTTAATAAGCCAATATTGATATATTACTATTAACTGAAGTCCAAACTTGATTCAGATTTCCTTGATTTTTTGCCTAATGTCCCCCTGCCATCCCTCCCCACCTTTTTTTTTGCTCCAGGATCCCATGTGGGATCCTACATTACCTAGAGTCGTCATATCGCCTTAGATTCCTCTTGACTGTGTCAGACTTTTCTTGTTGTTGAAGGTCTTGACCTGGCTTTAACTGGTTAAGTATTTTGTAGAATGCCTCTCTACTGGAATTTGGTGTCTTTCCCCATGTTAGACTAGAATTATGGGTTCTTGGTAGGAAGATTACAGAGATAAAATGACATCCCCATCACATCATATCAAGGTACATACTATCAATGTGCCTTATCACTTGATGTTAACCTTGGTCTTTTGGCTTAGGTACTGTTTGTCAGGTTTCTCCACTGTCAACTTACTCCCCCACTTTCATACTATACTCTTGGAAGGAAGCCACCATGTGCGCCCACACTTAAAGAGTAGGGATATATGCTGCACCTCCCTGAGGGTGGAGTAGCTACATAAATTATTTTACCAATCCACTTTTAATCCCCTTAGGTATCACTCTCGGGAGTCTGAAATACTGTTTTGAACTATTTACAGAGTAGTTACATGTTCCACTGTCGAGTATACAGAGTATTGTAACGGAATATCATAAAGTTTCCTTACAACTTTTTTTTTTTTTTTTTTTTTTTGAGACAGAGTCTTGCTCTGTCACCCAGGCTGGAGTGCAGTGGTGCGACCTCAGCTCACTGCAACCTCTGCCTCCTGGGTTCAAGGGATTCTCCTGCCTCAGCCTCCTGAGTAGCTGGGATTACAGGCATGCACTACCATGCCCAGCTAATTTAATTTTTGTATTTTTAGTAGAGACAGTATTTCACCATGTTTGTCTGGCTGGCCTCTAACTTCTGACCTCATGATTCTCCTGGCTTGGCCTCCTAAAGTGCTGGGATTACAGGCATGAGCCACTGCACCAGGCTTACAACTTTTTAATAACCAAATACCTTTTCATCCTCACCATCCCTGTGAAATTTTACAGTTCCTCTTCTGCTACTTTTGATGTGCTATTTTTGCCTTTAGAAACTAACAAACAACAAATTTCCCCTTTCAGTACTAAAATTAGACCTAGTGTTTAGAATATTTCTCCAAAATGGATATCCTGTAGTACTCCCAACTTATGCAGTTATAGAGATGCTACCGTGGTGCTTAAAGCCAGTGCAGTTTTTCACCCATTTAAATATATAGACACACATCACATAGACTACCTATACCAACAACACACTATTGTTTAAAACTACAATTCATAAAATTACAGCATGCATACTTTAACTTGTAAGTGGGGTTTCTTCTGATATGGTCAGCTAATGCACAAATCCTCAACCTTAAGTCTCAAGTATATTTGTATACACTAATATGATTTTCTAATAAGGGTGGCAGTGGCCTTTTGAGACTCATTTGTATATTGTCCTGAACACTGGGTATCTTTAGAAGGGCTCACCTGAACAATGTCCCTTAGACCTCAATGTGAAGAAAAGTTCTGCTTTGAAAACAGTTGTGTGGTCATGTCCCCTTTCCTCTCTCTGCAGTCAAATGTGTGCTTTAAGACAGTAGGGAGGATGTTGGGAAAAGATGTTGACTGGTACATATCTGTGTACTAACATCTTTAAGTTAATTTTCCTATCTTACTACCCCCACCTTCCACCCTTAGCTCTATTTTCTTTGCTTATTTTTCTGAAACATCATATACGTATTTTTGTAAGGTGACTATTTGGAAGAAGGCAGGCTGAGAGAAAATAAACACACTCTATTAAACACTCACTCTATTTATATAGAGTGGGTAGTATTGTGTGAGTGGTGGCAAATAAACCAAGCAGTTCCCGGAGGGAAAACAAAAGTGACATAATTGCTTCCAAAAATCAAACAGTTGGATTGATAAAAGTGCCAAAATCCATTCGGACTGTCTTTCTAAAAACTTGGACCAAAACCTTTTACTACGTGAAATGAAAAAGTAAGAAAGGAAAAAAAATACTTTGAAAGAAGTGAGTTCTCATGGATACTTTTCACAGCTGTTATCACCAAATCTAGACAAAAAGTTGCAGATCTTCTTCAATTTAAGATAAACGTCTTTGAACTTGAGCTTGCCAAGAAACCAGTGCAGACCCTCCACCCTCCGTGTGATATTAGTCTTCTCATCCATTATCCTTCTAACATAGACGTTTTGAGACAATCTAGTGATGCGCCATTTCCATCCTGTCAAGGTTCCTTGAGTTTGACATTCAAAAAGGGGCTGGAGGCGCGGAACCCGTGGCATTCCGCGGACAGCGTCCTTTAAAGCCGCCGCCAGCCAGCGCCGCTGTAACCCCGCTTACCGGCAGGTCGCCGGCTCCTGCCCCTTTCAGTCTGCGCCGACGCGGCGGCCGGATCCCGGGGACTCCCCGTGCCGGGAATCTCCCGCCAGCTGCTAGCTGTGTCCCGGCGACGGCAGGAGCACGTGGAGAGGCCGGGTAGCCAAAGCAGCAGCTCCAGCCCGGCCCAGAGGCGACATGGAAGGTGAGCCTGCAACCTGCTTCTTTTCTCCGGGGTCTTTGAGAAGCTTGACCGGTGCAGGCAGCAGAAAGAGTTTCTTCTGAATCTCGGTTTTGCTTCTATTTATTTCTTTTGTCAAAAGTAAATATGAGGTATTTCCGAGGGCAAAGCTAGTCGATTCTCACTTGTCCTTCCTCCGCTCTTTGGAAAGTGTTAACTTCTTTGCAATTTTATTTCTAAAGGGTTGTCAGACATGGGGGGTTAACCCTACGTCTGCAGAGGAAGAGCACTTAAGGGGTGTCCCTGAAATGGCTGCAAATCTGGGGTGGAATAACCAACCCTTTTGTGTATTTTTTTCCTTCGTATAGCCTCAGTGTTCATTGGAATTAGGCTAATCTGAGTGACTTGTTTTCTTCCAAGGGTAAATGGTGTTAGACGGGAAAGGTACATTTGAACGGGGTTGGCACCTGCAGTTCCCTTGGAACTTGATCTTCTAATGAGTCTTCTTTACCCAACGCAAAAATCAGTTCATACCAAGAGTTTCATTTGAATTAATTTTGAAAGTCATAAAACTATCCTCGCTTCTCAAACATTTTTTATTCTGTGCTTTCTTGGGATACCTAAAATTTCACACTGCTTCTGTAAACTCTTCAGTGGTCTTCTCAACAAGTGTTTCTAAAACCTTGAAAATGGCTAATGCATCTCAACCCGGGGGTATGGTGGTATTTAGAAAATCAGAATTTCATTCTGTTAAAAATGAGATATTGACACCTAACTAAAAGGTTACTTTGATAAATATGAAGACTGTGGATATTTTCTTCATAGTAATGAAAGGATCTCTAACAATGAACTGATCTTTAGCAGCTTTATTTTTAGAGTATATGAAGTTATTAAAATATCAAAAACTTTACGCTTTTAAATTTTTTAATTATTAGGGTTTAAAAACTTAAAAATGTTTGCATTTTATAGAGTCTGATTATATTCACTGTTTGTAAAAAAAACCTTTTTTTGCATTTTAA